ATGTGCGTGATTAAGAAGCCGTCTCATTAGGTCGAGCAAAATGGAACGCATTTAGGTATTATAAAAACACTAATCCATTAAGAACTATGGTGTTTAAAGAGGAGTTAATATAATGAAGAGTTAGATTGAAAGTTCTCATTCTCTTATTGTTTAAGAGTTTAGGAAATTAGAAAAAATATTTAATGAATTTATATAAAAATTATTTAATAAATATCAATATTAAAAAATTTATGCTTGATGTGAGAAAATTAAAAAAAAAACAATTTTTTTGTATGTTTGTGTTATAATTACTATTACTAAAAACTTAAAACTAATATTTCACAAATATTTAACAAACAAAATAAATATATTACACATCACAAATCATAAACAATACAAATTTCTTAAAGTTTCATTAAAATATTTTATGACTATTATTTTATTTAACAATCGAAGTTTTTTTTTGCATAATCAATAGCTTTCATAAATTTACTGATTTCACCACAGTTAAGACCTAATTTATCGAGATCACTTATTGTTAAATCCACTAAAACCGAAATATCAATTTCTTCACGTTCACAAAACTGTTTATAATTACTGAGTTGATTCGAATCAAGTGCCATAATCATTTGCTTGGATAATGGTTTCGTCTTAACTGGTGAGCCTTTGATATATCTCACCTGTGGACATTTAGCCTGACATCCACATTGTCTTTTCAAGCTGGAATTTGTTTTTGACGTATTAGGTGTAACCGCTAAATATTTCTCAGTTTTAAACAACGTCTTCTGCTTCACTGGTGAGCCTCTTCTGCACGGACATACAGTGGGGGTAGTCGGTCTATAAGTCGTTTTCGATGTGTGCGATAATTGATTGATTTTGTTCTTTCCAAAGTCAAAAATAAACGAGATTGCGTTTGTTGGGGATAGAGGAGTTAATGGTGTGAACGGGGATTTAGGATCTATAAAAACAATTTAAAATATATAAATATATGTGGATATAATAATCTATTTCTTTATAATATACATGTATATTCATACATATTACCAGATTAAAGTCTGCTAATAAATGTTTTAACATATTTTTACCTCTACTCAGACGCTTATAATTTTCCATTGCTATTATGTATTTATATTTAAAATTTTTAAAATGATTTTATCTTTTATTAAATAAAATTTACCACATTGCAGTAGGTCTGATAAGAAACTGTAAAATTTTGAGGGGTTATATATTTCGATATTTTTATAATTAAAAGTTTAAGTTTAAGAATAAACTCACAAAATGGAATTCGATAATACACAGTAAAAAACATTAAACAACTTAATTACACAAAAAAAATTTATTTTTATAATCACTGTGATGTGTCTGATTAGGAACATAACAAAGGGTGTTTATCATCATATATACGAAGAACTTTTCGTGTGTAATAATCCATGTTAAAATGATATAACAGGTATTCTATGACAAACAGTACTGAGCTATATGTTGGTATATATAATAATATCCAAACATTTCAGAATTCATGCAAATAAAAGTGTAGTAATACTGTCTTACTGATCTATAGTCAGATAATTAGACCAGCATTACTTTATTGGTGTGTCGCGTATAGCAAAGCTGCCGATTCTACTATACAAAAGCTACAAATTGCTCAAAGTCAGGCTCTCCGAAGACTCTTCAAAGTGCCTTGGTACATCCGCACAAACGACATGCTAAGAGACCTTAGAATAGACCCGTTCAAAAAATACATAAGGGACAGAGCCATGAAATTATATGCGAAAACTGACAGGCTATCCTACTTAGCACTATCTAATCTTAGAGTAATCACTCTCCGCACGGGGAGGTACGGGGGGGGGGCAGATCTTAGATCAATCACTGAATAATCATGAAACTTATCAGGAATACATAAATTAGTCAATGAGATGAGTGGGACCCTATAATACCCCAAGCTATCAAAGAGTAAAAGTGCTCAGTTGCGCTGACTCGAAAAAAGGACCAACATACATACTGTCTTACAATCGTTTTTGAAAAATTATTTTACTTTATAAAACAAAACAACATAAGTCTTTATTATCTCATACGTCAAATCCGTGATTATTAATTATTTATCACACAACACTATCTGGCCTATTCTCAATAAATAATAAAAAATAGAAATAAAATAATACTTACCACAGTGCTATTAATATTTTGTTGGGGACATTCGCAATGCAACTCGTAGATTTAGTGTGCCTCCCTAATCGACCTAGAGCATATCTCCAAGTCAAACTTCCTCTATACTACAGAAACACATAATTTTGTATCAGGATAACACTGCTGTTCCCAAAAACGAATAAAAAGCCGTATATATATATTTATCGCCACATTATACCAAAATATTAATTCCAATGGAGCATTTATCCGCATATTATACTGAAACATGTGTTAAGACCACCGTAATGTGAAGTTTTCACGAAATATAATCTTATCTTGGTCATTAATAATACACAATCAAGCTACAGAGTCCAGTAGTTTTAAACGTGATTACTTGTCATGAAAACTTTACAACACGGTGCTCTTAACACACTTTTCGGTATAATGCGTCGATAAACGCCCTATTGGAAGTCTAAGTAATTCCGCCGGTAACAAATTAAAGCTAAAAATTTGGATATAACTTCTACCTTGGAAGAAAAAGAGGCTTATCTAACAGCTCTGTTGTTCTTTAGGTCACAGCATCCGATTGGAAAGTCCTACTCCACATCAAATGAAATTAAATTAATACAGTCCAATTGCCCGCGACCATTTGGGTTTTAAACGTATGCAGCACGATACTCCCATTAAATGAGCAAACATATATTGGTCAAGACTGTCAAAGTTATGTAGCCCAAACTCGAGTGATATCAGATTACAATTCCGGTTGGGTGCAGCAAATAAACCTCAGTCACTACCATTTATACTCCAAACAGTATCGAGTGGAACCTACCTGATTTTTTTCGCCTTTTACGACAGGTATGTTATGCTTTACCTTGGGAATAGTCTAACCGCTATCCCACAGGACGATCAAGCTACAGTAGCTATCGGCAGTAGTTAAAAATCTTTAAATAGCAGTTAGATATTGCGCACAATTAAGCCATCTATAAAATCCATATATACACACATTTGAAATTTCAAATGTAAATCGATTTAAAAATTGTGAGCTTCTAAACAAAAACAGTTTTAAAATTATTGCATTAATTTATTTTTTATAGTGAGATTATGTGAAAACATTTTATTAGACAAAAAATAAGACTTGTTAAAGTAAATTCAATACTTTGATTTACTAAGAAAATTGTTTCTATATTCAGATTTTTAAGCTTTCTTTCATTGGTCTTTTGATCAATGCTACTTTAAGAAGTAGTAAATCATAAAGTTTATCAATAAAATTAATAAAGTTATTAGTAACAAGTTACAAATGAAAAGTTGACTCTTCGACTACATTGGCAAGTTTTTGACAAGTGTGATATATTTTGCTCTCAGAAACCTCTCAGCCGATATTGCTCTGTGATCACACTCTCTAATCATAATTCCATAAACCCCTTGCAAACAGTAAAAAAATTGAGCTAATTTTCACTACCTAGCCATAAAACTCTTCATTCCTTACTATATTTGTATGGAAATTGTTTGAGATAAATATATTTTCTTAATGCTGTCTGGTTGATACAAAACATTTTGCAAGTTAGAAAAGAAACAGATTGTTATGGTGGATATTTCTTTTATTGAACGATTAATATATATTTATATGGTGTTTATTCAAATTTAATAATAATAAACATAAAATTGTGTTATTATTTAAAAACCACAAAACTATGAATATTTATATAATATTTAGGTTATAATATAGACTACAGCATGGAAATAAAGGCGTTTTCGATTGGTAAATGTAGATTTAATCTAGATTTACTCTTGACATGTCAAATTTTGTTGCCCAATCGAATCAAACCACATTTTATTTATCAAGTCATATAAAACGGTTGATAATTTAATGGTTATCTTGTTACTCTGGCAAAATATCTAAAACGTTAATCTAGATAATTAATCTAGAGAAATTAATCTCAAGTGTTATATATTTCGGTCGAGACTTATTGCACATTCACAATGTCTCATTTGTTCGGTTTCACGCATTATAACCACTAATGAGAATGATTTACTATACAAAATTCTTTCTTATAAATGAACTCATTATTATTAAATCAGCTCATTTAAAGCGAAAAAATGCAAATGCAACCCATAAGAATGAATTTTCCACAAGGAAAATTACTAAAATTTGAAATACGTATTATATGTTCTATATGTGAAATGTGAAACAACAGCTGAGCTGTAAACAAAGGCACTGAGGAAGTAGGTATTTTATGAAATCTTTCTTTTTATTAATTGCATATGTAATTGATATATAAAATATATGTAAATGATTTAATATATGAATTATATATTTAATTTTTTGTGTGATATATTAGTAAGTGAAGTTTATTAATGTTCTATCAGCTGCCTAAATGAGCTCATTATAATGTGAATGTTCACTTAATAATATAAATGAATAAATGTCTAAATGAGACAGTATGAATGTGCTATTACCAATCGAAAATAAAGATTAAAGGTAAAGTAAATTGAAATTTCCTAGGGATTTTTTGCACTGCACTTATGTAAATATTTATTTATTTTTTTATTGCACGTATTTATTATTTTTGGTTAAAAGTTTTCTAATTTATATATATATTTATTAAACATCTTATAAAATTTTCACTATGCTAACACCTAATTTATTCTCGAAATTCTGGTAAACACTAACATTCGCTGCCATACCGACATAACTAACTATTTTCCTCAATTTACCATCAATTTACTTGAACTCGCACACGGCCATAATATATATAATAAAATAGTTTTAAATTTTTATTAATATCAGGCGAAACAATATATTTTATTTGCAATTTGCTGTAAGTACCTTAAAATACAGCTCTGCAAAGTAAATTTTATTTTGCTTTGTACTAATTCGCACTGCAATTTTATTCAGTGTCGCCTAATACCACTTCTTCAGCACATCTCATTTACGTGATGTGCTACATTACTGTTAAAAATGTAAAATTAAGTGTATTAAAATATAAAAAAAACATTTTTTAACGCAAAAGGTATGGTTGCTTAATCCAAAAAAAAGAATTTATTAATAAAATACCAGCGAATATATGCAAAAATGTAAAAAATTTTATGTGCATACTCACATCTGTGTTCTGAAGTGAAAAAGTGTAAAAGAAAATTTATATATGGTTGTGTATAATGTGAAAAATATGTGCAAAATTATATGTGTGAGCCGGTTAGAAATAAATTAATTTGCAAAAATTTACATAAATTTAATGACATAAATACTAAATTAAGAGCTTAAACCATTTTTTCTCTAACATATATAAGTTCTCTTTATTTTTATTTTATTTGAAAATTTGGTCCTTACGAATACTTCATGAAAATGAAATATGTATTTTTGACAGTTTATTATCAACACTTTCGTTCCCCACAAATGAAGTAAATTTAAAAAAAAACATAACCTAACTTTATGCAATTTATATATATAATTTTATATATATCGGTTCTTAGTAATGCACATATATATTAATAGGAAATATATATATTACGAAACTAATAAAACAAAAAAATTATTGATATTGTTTGCTTTAAATGTAGTGAAAGAATAAATTGCTCCTCATGTGTTGAAACCGATACTAATTTGTTTTATAAAATTTTATATAGTCATGTTATAGAAATTAGTTGTTTAATTACGTTCTTAATTTTCTTAAACATTTTATTCTAATAATTAGATTTGTTATAATATATTACGTGCTGTGTACTATTTTGTGTAACATTTCACGATTCTCGATAGTATATCATAATAAAATAATGTTATATTGAAACAATTTGTTTACGTATTAATAGAACTATATCTAATGATTTGCATTTCACAAATAATTTAAATTTATTTAAATTTGCAAAATATAAAATAAATCTTGAAATACCGATATAATTTGATAACACATCACTATGCGGTTTCGTTTACTCGATTACCGAGTAACGAACGACCACTGCTGAGAAAAACTCTTATTGGTGTAAATCCTAAAATTCATATTGGCAAAATATTCTAAAACATGACATTTACTTTTGTTAAAAGTGTTTTTGAAAACTTTTAATTTAAACAATGCTAGCATAAATATATAAGATGAAATAAAAGATGAAAACAAAATTTAAATATCATAGAAATGAACTGCAAAATAAATCTATTTTTAAACAATGTGATTATATATTGTGATCTATGCAGGCATTAATTTGCAATTTTACAAAAAAAAAAGAAAAAAACGAAGTAAATCAACACAATTATAAACACATAACATATTTAAATTGTATGAAATATAAAAAATTCTTACTGTGTGATTGTAAATTATAAAAATAAATCTTGCTGTTTTTTCAACAACATGGAGAAAGCAATGATTAAACACAATTTCCAGTATAAAAAACGGCTTTTGATATAATATTAAGTTTTATATTATGTATATAGTGTTTGAAAGCCGGTATTTAACTAAGAAGAATTTACCTATTAGGCGGGAAAATGAATATGAAGAAAGAGGTTCTTAGACGGTGTTAAGTTTATATACTTTAGAAACTGCTTAGTATTAAAGTATATAATAATGAAAGAAATATCCTTCAGAAACTGCTTAATATTAAAGTATATATTAATTACGATATATACATTCATTTTAATGATTTCTAGAACATCACCAAATCTTTGAATTATGATAAAAATATATTAGTTCTGTTTGTGACCATCATGAGTATTTTGCCTAATCTCACATGAGTTCTAAAGCTAAATTCAAAATCAGTCTACATAGTCTACAAAATTATATATCCAAAAGCAATTAAATATTTAAGTTGTCATAATTTGATACAGTGGAATCCATGTTTTGCCTAACATAATACAGTATAAATGATAAGTGGGCTTATCGTCAACCAAATTTTGTTCAGAGAGTTATTATTATTATGACATGTTCTATAAATTACAATCATAATTCAAGAACTTAGTCTATTCACATATGCTTCCCAGACACCCTTACTACGCGCTAATGCTCTAAACTCGTTGAATGATGTATTAGTTTCCATGTTTATTGGAATCCTTTTGGATTCCATTCTAATGCAGAGTGTGCAATTTCAATAACCGGTTTACATAGGGTATATGCCACGCTTTTTGAGACGCATGCAGCAAGTTGTTCCAAATAATGATTTCAATTGATTTTAGAGAAATTATATAGTTGAGAGCAATGTACGTTAGGAAAATATTAGCTTCCTGACTAAAGTCCGTTTATTACTTTATTCAAATCATTGCATTTTACTGTTAAAATCAGTAAATTTTAAATATATGTCAACTACCACCATGTTGTTATAACCTAAAGTGGATCTTCGATACTTTTTGCTAAACCTTACTTAAAGAAAATACATGAAAGAAAATAGAAACTAGATAGATGAAATGTTGTAGTTACAATCTAAATTTGAGCTCTGTTAATATTTACTAGACCCTAGACCATGCTAACAGAAAAGCCATGGAAAACCGTAACAAGAACGAGGTGGGAAGAATAGTAAAAACTATTATTAAAATATAAGAATTTAATACTTTTAAATTTAGTTTGGCTATAGGTTCTGGAATATTTCTACTATAATGTAGAGCTGTTAAAAATGAGTTAAAGCTAAAACAAATAAACGACTTTTGATCCTAAACAATGCCATTATATTTCTCATTTTTTTACCCTTTACAAATATATTCGTATTTGTAATTCCTCTTATGTTAACTGCTACGTGTATATTCCGTGGCTACAACAACATTTTCATACGCAGAAAGTAACTATATTTAATCCTAAATAACGAGATAACTTCGTAGCAATCTATATGTTGGATAATATAAAACCGTGATAGCCTTGTCAGAACTTTAAAATAAAACATTTTGTCTTTAAGTGTATTATAATAACTGTTATTTATTTATTTAATTAATTATATAAAAGTAAATAAAAGCTTGACAAACAATTATATATGCATAATGTTATTAACATTGAGAGGTTTTAATTTCAATACTATGATAGTGATGAAAGCAGTGATTACTACCAGAGACAGTTTCCACCCTACTTTGAAGATGCCATCCAAAGGCCTGTCAAGAGGTAAACAGTATTAGAAGCAGTATCAAGTAGGGCCGTCGAAATCCCAGAGCGAAATGAGAATTGTCTTGGATACAAATCTTTTGGGATCATTATTTTACTAAGAATTCTGCAGAATCAAACAAAAAGAATGTTGCTAAAATTCTGAAGTAAGCTAGCAGAAGTTAGTGCTAAATTAAAGCATTGTACGTTCCTAATACAGATCTGTTGCGAAATTTTGAAAATCACTATATAAGCAGCTATCACTATCAATGTGTTCAAAATATATATTAATATATATGATTTTAATATTCAGTAACTTGTCGACCAAATCAAATTTATTAAAAAATTTTTCTTTGCAGATTTAAGTCCTCAAAATGTCCTAATTAAGTAATAACGTTTTTAACGATAAATCAACTGTAAAATATTTGTAAATTAAGAAATTAAAATTTAATAGTAAGTAAATAAGCGAGAAAAGTGTTGCTTCAACGTTATTTAAACGTTGACTTCAACTTGCATTTAGAAAAATCTATACCAATATGGCTGAAGAAGAAATGCAGGCGCACGATTTTGTCCGCCGTCGAAGTTGGTCTCGAGCTGTAGCGCTCTACGATCAGATTCTAGCACAGATTTTAACGCAAAGTTCAAATCCTAATAGATCGTACAAGGACCGCCAAATCACTTGTCTGCTTGGGCGTTGCGAGTGTCTATTAGAATTGGGCAAATATGAAAGCTGCCTTTCCGATGCACGTAAAGTGTTAGCTCTACTTTCAGAACAAACAGACTGCCTAGCGAGTATATCAAGAGCAAGACGTTGGCTGATTCATGCTCTTTGCAAATTAAAATTATACACAGTAAGTTAATTGTGTTAAATTTTTATATTCTATTTTTTTCCAATATTTCAAATTTAATCATTTATTTTGCTTTTTTTTCTATTTTTTAGGAAGCGGAACAAATTTTATTTGATTGGATTGCAGAGTTTAATAGCCAACAAAATTTTTCGGATATTTCGAAAACACTTGAACGGTACAAATCAATTATACAAATGATTAACGGACACAAATCTGCGCATAAAATAACCAATTCTCGACTTGAAGATGAAATGGCGGTGTTAGATACGAAAATCGATCATTGGGCTACTAATAATTTGCCACTGGATAAGTATAGTAAGCTGTTAAGTAATAAAGGTCTTAAGAAACGGGAAGGTATAACGCTAAATGGCTCTGCCAGTAGTAGCAGCAGTATAAGTAGTAGTGGGAGTGGCACCAGTATGACAACAATGGTACAAAAGTCAACAGATTTATTATCCGCTCTAAGAATAAAACATCACGAGGATAGTGACAATGCAACCACATGTTCTTACTGCGCTATTTCATTTCAGTCAAGAAACGAATTGCGTCAGCATTGTCAGACTGAGAGTCATCAAAATGTTATAATGTCGTATGAAGGTAATTAAAAAAAAAATTTTCACAATAAAAAATATTTAAATTAAAAATAATTTTATTGATATATACAATCTTAATTGTGCTTAAATTAAGCATAACATAAATTACAATTTCGTTTTTTTTAGGACGAGACTGGAAATGGCGACCACCACCTCGAGGATTTACGCTTGATTCTTATAGTATCTGCGAAGCATTCACTGAATCACAAACTTGCCATTATGGCAATCAATGTGTGGAGGCGCATGGTCTGGATGAACTCAACGAGTGGAAAGAAAGATTTGAATATAGACGTATGCGCCTGCAGAAAGCTTGTGAAAAAGAACTTTATGGCAAATCTTATACAGAACAAATTCTTGATCGTTGGATACAAGCAACTGCACCCGAACGAGTAATGTCTGAAAAGGTTGAGGGTATTGAGGCATCGTGTGAGAATGATCTTGTTACAAGTATAAGTTCAAAAACCTCAAAACGTACATGGACTTTCCTTTTGAAAACATCAAAGAATCTTAGAGCAGTGGCATTATTACAAGATGCGCATCGTAATCATTTTGCAATTAAATCCATCAGAGTTGGTGCATCTCAGCCTTCAACTGCACATGAAGTTGAACTTAAATCTAACCAGGAATGGGTTTTAACAAAAAGCAATGAAAAGGAAGATGGTATGCTGCAATGTAAGCCAACTTTTGCAGAAAATTGTGAAATAGAGACTGTTATTAAGAGCGCTGAATTAGAACATCAAGTCACTATTGAATTTCACACAGATATTTACGGTACTTTTCGGCAAGCAATTTGTTTTGATTTCGGTTCAGAGCCATTACTTGTAAAGCAATTATGTGTGGATGTAGTGCCTGTGGGAGAAGTTGAGAAAATAGAGGAGATTAAACGTGACATAATAAACAGTTCTGCAACCCGTTGGGATATTTCAAATACGAATTTAGTAAAATTTGAAACTACCATTGGTACACACCTTAAGACTGAGGCTTACCTAAGAGATCTGAAGCACGAGAAAGAGATGCTAGAGAGATATCCTTGTCCACGTGCTGAAACATTTACGCTAACACAATCTACCATTGTGGAAAAGCGTCTTACACAAAATAATTATCGTTCGCGTATACATGAATTACTTTATGTAGAGGAAATTGCTCGTTACGAACAAATAGCGCGTTACAATGTACGTACGAAACTTACCGTGATCTCCAAATATATTCTCACACCAGCTGGGACTGCAACAAGTACAACAAAGTATTCTATATCTGGTGAATTCTTTGCTTTAATGCGTTTAGGTAAAGACATATCGGAAGATACTTCAGCTGGTCGCCTCATTTTATTCAACTGCTCCAGTGTTTATATATCACAGCCTGATGACCATTTAATAACTAAAGAAAAGGAACGTAAGGTATTTGAAGCAATAGTTGAAGATAAAGGAAAAAATGTGATTTATTTAAAACTCTCCGCGAAATGTGTTGAAGATATGGCGTTGAAAGTGGATACAGACATTGAAGTTGACATCCAATTTCAGTTAAATCGTCTACCTTATTGTGAATGGCATAACGCAGTGGATAAAATAACAGATTTTAAAATAATATTTCCTGCAACTGAAACTGAGCCAAGCATACCTTGGACTCCTAAAAAACAATGGTCAGATACTTGCGAGCCGAAACTCAATGCTAAACAGCGCGAGGCTGTCAATGCAATTACTACTTCATTGGATATAAAATTACCACCCATTTTGCTTATTGGACCTTTTGGCACAGGAAAAACCTACACATTAGCCCAAGCCATCAAACAGCTTTTGACGCAACCTGAAGCGAAAATACTCATTTGTACTCATTCAAATTCAGCTGCCGATCTATACATAAAAGAATACTTACATCCATGGATTGAAAACGGCATAGAAGAAGCTACACCTCTGCGCGTATATTATCACAAACGTTGGGTAACAACAGTGAATAGCGTTGTACAAAAGGTGGGTGTTTCATATCAATTAAAAAGTTAATAAAAATTATATTTCCTTTTTCTTTATATTATAGTATTGCATTACTGATGGCGCAGGGTATTTCCGTCGACCTACAGTGGAAGACATAATGAAACATCGAATTGTTGTGGTGACACTAAGCATTTCAATGGAATTAGCTACACTGGGTCTACCAAAAGGTTATTTCACACACATATTTCTTGATGAAGCAGCACAAGCAATGGAATGCGAGGCAATAATGCCCTTAGCTCTAGCTAATGACAGTACTCGTATTGTACTTGCTGGTGATCACATGCAAATGAGCCCTGAATTATTTTCAGCATTTGCAAAAGAACGTAAACTGCATATATCCCTACTGGAGCGATTGTATGATCATTATCCATCTAGTTTTCCATGCAAAATTTTACTTTGTGAAAACTACCGCGCTCATGAAGCAATTATTAAATTTACATCAGAATTATTCTACGAACAAAAATTAATAGCATCCGGCAAGCAACCACGTCATGAACGTTTTTATCCGTTAACGTTTTTCACAACACGTGGTGAAGATATACAAGATAAAAACTCAACAGCTTTCTACAATAATGCAGAAGTCTATGAGGTTGTTGAGCGTGTCTCTGAGCTTCGAAAAAAATGGCCGACGTCCTGGGGTAAAATCAACGATGCCAGCATCGGTATTATGACACCATATGCAGATCAAGTTTTTCGTATACGATCGGAACTTAGGAAACGTAGGATGGGTGGTATTTCTGTTGAACGTGTGCTAAATGTACAAGGTAAGCAATTTCGAGCTGTATTTCTTTCGACAGTGCGAACACGACGTACCTGCATACCACAAGTAATGAATGGTGCACAGCCAGGTAACTCTCTAGGTCCTCCAGAAGATACAGATTATGGTTTTTTAAGCAATTCAAAATTACTCAATACTGCTATAACTCGTGCGCAAAGTCTTGTTGCAGTTATTGGTGATCCGGTTGCATTATGTTCGATTGGACGTTGTAGAAAAGTGTGGGAAAGGTTCATAGAAATTTGTGATGAAAATAAATCGCTGTTTGGCATAACATGGTCTTATCTTCGTTCACAGTTAGATGGAGTCGAACTGAAACGTGGTTATGTACTGAACCCGCTGGCACCAGAATTTATACCACGTTCAATGCAACCAGAAGCATATTTACGTGACCAAACTGCTATGTTTTTAATGGGTGCAAATTTAGCAAATAGTCATCATGGCCCACCACATATGGGAGCGCTTCATAATGCTGGGCACATGGTACCCCATGCCAATATGTTAGCAGCAGCAGCAGCTGGACAAATGCCAAACCATCATGGTATGGGCAATCAGCCAATGCCACATATGTATCCGCAATATCCAGCTGCGGCCGCTTACAATGCGGCTGCAGGGCCGGAATCAATAATGAATCAGAATATGAATAAAGGAATGCATCATTTTCCTAACCATCCGAATCATATGGGCATACGTGGCATAGGACCTCAACAACCACCTCCACCCCAACTTTCGCAACAATATAATCCGCGGGGTCCACCACCTTCGGTCCATCTCAATCAACAACAACCACCAACAGCAGCTGGTCAAATACCACAATATATGTGGCAACAAGCACAACAGCAATTACGTGGTGGTCCGCCCACTGCTGGCGGTGGTTATCCTCCTGGAGCATTGCAACAAGGATCATTACAAAATCAAAACCCTAATGCCAGCCTTTGGGGACCACCACCCCAATCAAACCCTTGGAGTGTCTTACCAAAACAACCTTTACAACAACCGCCTAATGCTGCTGGAAATAATAGACAATTACCGCCGCCACCTCAGCAGCAAGTACCGGGCGGTATACGTGGTGGAAGTGTACCATTACAACCTCCACCAAATCAAGCAATGCGTACTAACCCAAATGATTTAGGATATTTACAAAGAAAACCATTATATGGACAACAGCATCCACCGCCACCTAATCAACAACCCCCACAGCATAATAACTTTCAAAACTACTCTGGTGGGAATGCTGCCAATGGACAAATGCGAATTTTAGGAATTTTAAGTCCTATGAAACAAGGCATGCAACGTTCGACGACAAACAAATTTTATAACGTTGTGTATCCTGGCGTTTCCACACCAATTGCGAATAGTAATTTTCAAAAGCCTCAACAGATACCAAATAATAAACAACAGTCGCCAACCTCTTTGCATTTTCCACAACCACCGGAACATTTGGCTCTACTGCCTCCAAATGTAACCATCTATGAAATGGCATTTGAACCCAAAGAGTCTCAATATAGATGGTATTTGAAACTGCTAGAGACTCATGGTCAGGAAGCTGCCAATAAGTTTACAGAGCTTTTACGTCAAGTTATGGCCATGCTACATCAGCATCAACAGCAACAGGACACCACAAAGCCACTGCCGCAGCTTCAACAACAACAACAACAAACGAATTTAAACACTAATCAAATAATGCAGCGAGAGCTAATGCAGCAAGGTTTGCCACCGCCCATGGGGGCTGCTGCAAATTCATTAAATCACCAACCGCCTCAACTACAACAAAATGAACAGCATCGAATCAGTAATAATGGAATCGGTATGCAGCATTTCATGAACGCCGGCATGAACCCAGGTTCATCATTAATAAAAGCCGCAGCAAGTGATACTCCACCATTAGACACAGGTGTTAATTTTAATCAACAAATAGATTTGGTTTTTAATTCTTTGATGACTGGTAATGAAATATCACCACCCATTCTACGTGATCTGTTTGGTATGGTGAGCGGTCCTCCTAACAACGGTATGAATAATAATATGAGTGGTCCTGTGATTAATAACATCAATAATGATCTCTTGCTAACTGGCGCACAAACTGGATCAGCACCACAAAGTAAAGTGTTTCCGTTGATCAATAATATTAACGATGCAAACAGTCTAGCAGTGCAACAAACGCAACAGTCGCCGCTTAATATCCCAAAGCCACAGCAGCAACAAATGTTTCCAATGCATCAAGCTGGACATAATTTGCAGCAACCGCAACAAACACAACAAATCAATACAAACAATTTTTTGGGTAACAGTAAGTATTTTGTATATATTTAATAATTTTTTATATCTATAAGAAAAATTATTTTAATAAGTAGAAAAAAAATTAAAAACTTTCACATTTATTACAGATGCAGCGTCTCATAACTACGGTGCGTCAACGTCATCAGTGCCGCTTTATCTACGACAAGCTTTAACTGCTGGTAATGGAAATAATACTATACCTGGAAATAGCGTACATAACTACCATAACAGCAATGCTTCCATGCAAACGGGTGGTAATGGAGTCAATAATAATTTGAATACTCAAACACTTCATAATTCAACGCACGAAGGCTTACTAACAGGTGGTACAAATGATATACTGGCAGGTCTTGAAACTGGTGCTTGTAATCTTATCGAAGCACTTTTTCAAGCAAATGCTGCAAACTCCGAACATCAAAACAACAACACCGCTTTTCATAAGTTGCTTTATAACAATTACACTGCATCGCTAAAACCTAACGAATTAGACATTTTCATGCGGGAGCATAATTTTGGACTAGCTGGTATAAATAATACGAATATGGATAACACAGCAGTTACCGGTACTAACCATCACCAACCACATATACCACATACCAACAGTGGTGCAAATGCACCCGATGGTCGGAACACTACCTATGCAGCTGTATTAAGTCAAGGACCGCAGCAACCAGCTATAGGTGGAGCAGGCGTTGGAAATAATCCACATGCAATGCACCACAATTTTCAAAATGAACTGGGAAATACTACTAACAACATGAATAGTAATATTGCCAATAGTGGTGGTAATGGAGTAATCGAAATCGAAAAGGATCCGTTTGCTGCTATACGTGAACTTGGCCAAGGAAGCAATGGATTTTATAATTATTTTCAATGAGCTATATTTTACCCACACCAGTACAATCTGCATTACTAGGTGATCAAATTATAAAAAATCCATTTTGTCGTGAGTCAAGCCAATGAAATAATGGCTTTTAAAATTTTCTATAAAATAACTTTTCTCCATAAAATACACCACGTATGTTTGATATCAAAAATTGCTGGGTCTCCTATTATTAGTTGTATTTTTAAAAGCAAATTGCAAATATTTGGTATTAGCTACAAAACTGTTGCAATCTGATATATGTTTGATATATTTAATTTAAGCTTATATATAAAATATGTTTGTGTGTTATGTACTATGGTTTAATATGTTTCGCTTTTAGTTTAAACATAAGCTATATTCTCTCCTAATTTAAAAGCCCAGCATTTTTAATGATACCAAGCGTACCATTTATAGTAACTTTTGTATTGTTTATCTGTAAAATGTTTAAGTAACATTTTAAAATTTTGCTTATTATTTTAGATATAAGGTTAAATGTATATGTATATGCATGCGTATATACCAATTATAAAATTTTTATTTTATAAATTTTTATTGAAAATTAAAAAAAAAAAATTCAAATATATTACATATATGTATAATTCTTAATAATAAAAAAAACAAGCACAGCTATTAAATTTTAACTGATAAATGAAAATAAAATTAGATTATAAATATTTTGAATAATATCTATGTATATCTTTAAATTATTATATAAAAAAAATTTCATTGACAAATTAGTTTCTTCAAATTGCTTAATTTTTATATAAAATTTATCATAATCATTATTTCTTATTGCATTAGTAAAACAAATTGTATGCTCATATTTTTTATAAATTTATTTTACTTCTTTTGTTATTACAAATTTATATTGTTCCACAGCTTCTTTTATATCAGTTAAAATTAATAAAAGCATGTGCAATAGAAACAAAAAAAAAATATGCATGAAAATATAATGTTAATTTTGCAATTAATTTATATTAAAAATTAATGTTTGTTTAAAATTTCAACACTATATAAATATAAATATTTATAAAAAATTGCATGAAAAAAATATATAAATAAGACAAAAAAAAAATAAACCTTATTCAAAAAAAAAAAAGAAATTAGAAAAAATCAAAAAAAATGTAAACATGAATATAATTGTAATATATAAATTTATAAACAAATATTTAAATGTAGTTATAAGTTTTAAATATAAAAGAAATTCAAACTTAATTAAATATTATATGTAAAATGATTAAAGAAATTAGTGTAATATTTTAATATATAATTGTTTTTTATTTACTAACAATATAACATAAATAACATTATACTAACCACATGAAAATATATATTAAAAAGAAATATTTAAAAAAAAATATAAAAGTGTTATGTGAAATCTACTTAAAAGAAATTGCATATATATATATATACTGTTTAATAAAATATAAATTTCATATTGTACTAATTATTTTTATTATCATTATTAAATATATTGACATTTACTTAAAGTAAAATAAAAGTTAGCGCCGAAATAGACATATTAAAAATATATATACAAATTAAGTATATATTTGAATAACTCAAAAATAAATATTAATAAGTAAATATTAAAAAATAAATCTAAATGCAACTCATAATTATAATACACCCTGCGTTTATGCGCTTTACACCATTAAAAAAAAACCCTTCTAATTTTTATATAAATTTCTGTCATTATATTTATTGAAAATATATAAATTTTTTTGTAAAAGAATTACAATTTGAATAATTCGCAGTTCGATAATTCGATATTAAAGAAAAAACAAAAAAAAACGTATCTACTTTGTATATAATAATTAAAATTTTATGATTTATAGCAGATGCAATTATTTATTAAGTTAAGAGTAATGACTAATTATTACAATGAAAAAATAATATTAACCACATTTATTTTACTTTCTATAGAAATCATGGCGAATTGATCTAACTTTTTATTGTTCTTATTTTTATTTATTTCTTTTTATTTATTTAATTAGTTTTGCTTTTTATTTATTTAATTAGTTTTGCTTCTTATTTATTTATTTAATTTTTTTATTTAGTTAACTTTGCTTTATTTTTTATTTATTTAATTTTATTTTTTTATTTATTTAATGTTATTTTATTTTTTTATTTATTTAATGTTATTTTATTTTTTTATTTATTTAATGTTATTTTATTTTTTATTTATATAATGTTATTTTATTTTTTTACTTATTTAATGTTATTTTATTTTTTTACTTATTTAATGTTATTTTATTTTTTTATTTATTTAATGTTATTTTGTTTTTAGATTTATTTATTTTTTGATTAATTTAATTTATTTGTTTCAATTAATTTATTATTTTTTATTAGTTTACTACATTTAATCAATCTATTTCTTTTTATAAATTAATTTTTAGAAATTTTCTTTTTTTCATTAATTTGTTATATTTTTTTCAATTCTGTTTTTTATTAATTTTAATTAATTAATTTTTTATTAATTTATTTTTTATTAATTTATTTTTTATTAATTTATTATTTTTTATTGATTTTTTTTTGTAATGTATGATTCGATCGAAATATTTATAGATATTGAAAATTTACTGACAAAAGTTATAAACGTTAATTTTTTCTTAAATAAAATTTAAAAAACTTTAGTTGAAAGTAATGTTTGTACATCCATAAATATATATAGATGCTTATATTTTAAGTTTCAAAGAAATACTACTTGATATCGAATGAATTTTTAAGACTAATAGAAATTTGAACTGTTATTTTATAACAGCTTTCTTTGAAAAAATGTTTGTGAAAATACGTATATATGTATTCTTTATTTTTTTATTTTTATTTTTTTTAATACAAATGAAGCTTTTTGATTTTGTTTAAAAAACCACGCAAAACAATATCTACATAGAAAAAGTATAGATTGTCATATTTATAATAAGTTCATTGCCACGCTATATAGGAAATAGAAGAAATAGCAAATTTGTTTTTTAATAAAACCGAAAACCGATGTAAACAAAAAAATTTAAGAAAAATCAATACGTAACTTTTGAGGAAATATTTTTAAGTTTTTATTTTTGTATTTCCTTTCTTTTCTCATTTTCTAGTTTTTATTCATTTTAAATTATGGAACTTATTTTATTTAAATTGAAACTTATTAAATTGCATCTTTTAAAGTTTTATTAAAATTAAGAACAATAAAATAATATATAAAGTTATTTGTTTCACATTAATTATGAATTAATCCCAAATTATATATATATTTATATATATCATAAATAAACTGTAGTCCTCTGCATTAAACATAAAATTTCAGTTTTCGATATGCATACGAAATTAATAATCGCTTTATTTAATATAACACAAAAAAAAAATAAAAAAAAATTTCTTATTAAAAAATAAAATAAATGCATATGCAATATAAAAATATTTATATACATAAATTTATTAAACAAAAATATGTAATTTAAAATATGTAAATGTAATAATTGTAGCAAAGTAAAATTTATAATTATAGGAAAAAGATTTTGAATATATAAACAAAAATAAATATATATATTATATGTATGTTATAAACAATTTATATGGATTTCTGTAATTTTAGAAAAATTTCTTAAATATAAAAACGAAAAAAAAAAATTGAAAAATAAAAAGGTATAAAAAAAGATCCCAAAGGGGCAACCAAATATATGTCTTATTTTTTAAAAATGATAGCATCCATCAAAATTTAGTTGATTGCATTTTAACAGAAAAAATAATGCACTTAATACAAATGCGTGAAGTTAATAATTAATTTAAAAAAACATTGCATTTAATAATAATAATTTATTAAAATTGATTGACCCTAGATTCAAGGCAATCATTTATCACTCATTTCAGGATCCTGTTCTCAAAATTAGCAGTGGGTCAATATGAGTCTGTATTTAATCAAAACAAAAAAACTGCAGAAACTTTAAATGTTTTTAACAAAGATAAGAATGGTTGCGTTCCATATAGTATCCTGAACACAATATTATCTTGGCGATACAGCTCTATTTCCTTTACAAAGAACGATTCTTATTATGAAAGAATAGATAACCCTCCTCAATTTATTGCTGCATCTGATTCTGGAAGGCAGAATCGATGGCAAACGTTACATGGAAAGAAAACAAATGTCTTGGTTGAGGAATATCTGGACTAAGTTAAGAACGATTGGAGACTGAATACGTACTGCTAGAGATAGAGAGAACTTCAAAAACATTATTTCTAACATAAAGAAGAACTAAAGAAGAAGTTTATTAAGGGATGTCTATTTAATGAAAGTGCAAAATCACGATTTACTAAAAATATCATTTAAAAGTTAACAGAAAATCATTACTTTGTTTTGACTTAAGTGGCAATCAACTTTAAGCTAATATAATTAAGTATAAATATATTTATATAAAGAATAGAAAAGTAGACATCCTACAATCAATAGAGCTACGATTATTTAATCTATGCTAAGCTATATTCTCAAACCTTTAAAGTCTAAATACACAAAAGTTTTAGTTTCATGCTGATTCTATTGAAAAAAGTTATTTAATATAATTTTTTAGTGGGTGAAAATCAGAATAGGTATTTGTTTTCCCTCTCTAATGCGCAGACAAACTGTAGTCCAGTCGATTTTTGTATGCGCCCTATTGAAGTGGCTGGGTTTCTCTGCCTTGATCCTGGTTATTCTTATTCCTAAACAATCTCTTCCCCCATCACACTCCCATAACCCATCCACATCATAACCCCAACCCATGTATAAGTCTTTATAAAATCTTTTATTTTATCTCTTTATAGATATCTGCGATCTACAACAATAGATCAGTATTGATATAGAAAGCAAAATACGAAAAATATAGAAGACAGACAGACTAGCTCAGCTGGAAATACTTAAAGCCAAGCAATTGATTAATTGATGCTATCAAATGTGGCACGACAATGGCTTTGACATGCAGAATTCTGGTAAAGGTTTCAATAAATAGCAGTTAAAATGAGCATTATTGATTTAACGTTTAGATAAACTTCAGAATATTTTTTTTAGCTCTATCTGCTTTTTATTTTAGTCCAATTTAAATATATTAATAACACCAAAAATTTTTCAGTAAGCATAAACCTATAAATTGAGTTATATGAATTACTAAATTACTTAGTATAAATAACTAAAAAAAATTCTGATTACACCCAAATATTTGTGATTTATAATTGTTGGAATAAAATGAATAAATTTTAACAATCAATCATAGATTGTTGTTTTAGTCCTCTCTATATTTTAGTTTCCCTATTTTAGATATACGAAGTAATAAAAATAAAAAGTAATAACACTTAAATATCATTACTGTATTTTATCTTGATTAAATCATCACAATTTAATTCAACAAATAATTAAGCCTCTAAAAAGATACCATAAAATTGTTTTATAAAAATATACATACTTTATTATATACTTAAACGGCATAAATCTTTCATACAAAAGCAAAGAAAAATCTTAAAACTAAAGGATCGCCTATAAACTGATGTCTTAACTAGTATGGTGGTGGAACACTTCCTATTTCTGTTTTAAGTTCATCATAAAGTTCTTGATATTCTGGATTTTCGCGTACGAGCACTACAACTGTACCACGCTTTACACCCATGGCTGCACCAAGATCATGTCGGCTAGGAGTATAGGTATACGGTATACCTTTTTCTTCACACACACTAGGTAAATGGCACATAATATCGATTGGTAGCACATCACCAGCAAATATTACAATCCTGCAAAGAAATTAATAATTATATTACAATTATACACCAAAACACAAATGTTAACTTTCATACCCTTTTTCCCCTTTACGTAAACGAAGTTGCACGTCTTTCAAACCATTGCGTAAAAATGTTTTATGTTTTTGTGCTTTTTTTACCAATTTATAGCATTTTTTCGCTAATTTCTTCGATGCCATTGGTTGGGCAATAGCGTTACAGTACTTCAATTTATCTTCATATGATTCCTCCTCCTTTATTACTACATCCGGTATAGCAATTGTTGATTCGTTAACAGCATAACCTTCATCAACAGGTTCTTTTTTAATTTTTCCCATTTTTTAACAATAAATGCTTTAAGTTATTAATAAAATATATGATATACAGCTCGATGTCGGGCAACAAACACGTGTAGAGCCGCACTGCTTTATTATGACATATTGTGGTAAGAAATAGTGCTACCAGATCGTTAATTTTAGCACTTAAAATAAGTAAGTAATAATATTTCATGGTGTTCGAGTACGTGTAAGTAGGTGAAGATATAATAATACATATAAGTTTTTAATATTTTTATACTATACAGATTATGCATAAAATGCTTAATATAAAATCAAAATAATTTAATTTTTCTTGCAATCTGTTATCGATAAATCAATGTACATCATGTGAATGCGTATTTAGATATGATATTTGCAGTAATATCATCGCACACAGAATAAAGAAATACAATGCAGTGTATAACAAAAAAAATCATTTTTAAAACAATTTATTTCAGCAATGAAAAAAAAAAAATTTTTTATGTTATTATATCCAACTCTGCTCTACATATTATACTGGATTCATGAAAGTTTTTTTTTTGTAATTTTAGCTGTCAATTGTCAATTGTTATTGCTTTCAATGCAAAATGTAAATTTTTGGCAACTAAAATTACAATCGTAACTCTCGTGTGAATCTATTCCAAGCAAGTACACCCAACTCTTTTTTTACACGGTAGATACATTCCTCAGAATTCCGTGTAAAAAAAAACCGTGTAAAAAAAATGAAAACAAATTGTATGTTCATATGGCATTTTATTGAAAAAAACCGTGTAACTTCAAATCCGTGTAAAAAGAAACCGTGTAAAAGAAGAGTTGGGTGTAGTTAGATGTTTCTTTAAAGTAATTTAACACTTTCGCAAATTAACACGAGTTTAGCATGCTAACTAAAAATTGTTTTAAAGATCTATTATAATAGAAAATATTGAACATATACATTTTTAATTTTCATACATTAGTTAAAAATTCTAATTTCACTCGACGTTTTCGATTTTTGTGCACATAAAAAAGTTGATGTAATTATAATAATAAAAATTGCAATCATTATTATTTATATTATATATAAACAAATATATTGCTTGTGGCAATCAAAACTTTTACACTAAAAATTTAGTTTATATATCCTTATAATAAATGTTCTTGTTTTGTTTTAGTAAAGAAATAATCACTACGTTTACTCGAGTCTTAAAATTAATTTTAAAACTGATTATAAAATTAGTTGTTGAAGCTGCCAATCAGTCAGCTGTTCATCGAAAAAAAAAATGTAGATTTCGACATTTTAAAAAAGGATAGAGTAAAACTACAAATTGTTTTACTTTTATTGCAAAAGAAAGATGTTATAATACAATATTATATTATATATTATAGTACATATTACAGTATATATTATATATAGTATGGTCTATATTATAGTAGTAGATATTATAGTAGAAGAAAAAATTAAAACAACAATGAAGATTTAAGAAATATCTCGTATAAAAATTAGAAAATTACGACTCTTTAATAAAATGGTAATACTTCCATTTCTTGGCGAACTGTTTCATAAATTGTCTCCACTCTATATTTCTTGCCGTCTAACAATTTTACTTTTTCTTTTTCCGCAAATGCTTTAATTTAATACTTTCATCTTAAATAAATATATTAAGTAAAATTGAAAAACTATTCCACCCTCATTGTTGAGTAACAATTTTGGTAATTATATATAAAACTTAGAAATTAAAATTTAAGATATAATTATGAACTGACAGTTCGCTCACGAACTATATTTTTTAAATAGTTCTTGAGTGCGAGAACGTATTTCATGTAATTTTTTTTTAAATAATATTACAAGTCCGTTCGGGAACAGACATATGCACGTAAGTTTTTACTTGAATATTACTACAAGCTCAGGCGTTTATAAATTTACCATACGGCAGAATTTCGAATAGGGTAAATTAAATAAAAATTTGATATATTTGGTATTACCATTGTGAAAATTTTATAAGATGTTTAATAAATAAATAAATAAATTTGAAAACTTTTAACCAAAAATAATAAATAAGTGCGATAAAAAAATAAATAAATATTTACATAAGTGCAGGGCAAAAAATCCCTAGGTATTTTAATTTTACTTTATTTCAACTTACTCGAACTCGCACAGGACCGTAGATGTATTTACAAAATACGGATAAGGTTTTCCAACACTGAAGACTTTCATCGAAAAGCGAAATTAGTCAACACTTCTCAATATATATGCTTTGGATACCCTAAAAATTTAGTTGCTGTTCAGTATAAAGAAAAAGAATTTTCGGGCAGCTGATAACTCGTACAAGAGCCACACTATTTTTGCAGAAAATAAATTGTGTTAATTCATCAATTAGTGTTTTTTGTTTTGTTTTTAAAAGAACATATTGAACTTACAATAAAATGAATGAAAAGAGAAAATTATCGTAAGTTATAAAAATTTGTTACCCACATTATTTTAAGAAAAAGTGACTAAAATAAATGCTCTACGTAAGGGCGGCGGGCATGTATATAGCGTAGATATAGGCAGCGCAGTCGGCGTTAATTGATTTTCCGCGACAGAGAAAATTCCGAAGGATAATTTGTTTCCCACAAACAAAATTGAAAAGTAGTAAAACGTAAAAATGGACTTTGAAGTCAAAACTTCATATATTATATACTAATTCGAATTTTCTTAAATGTGTCGATTAAAAATAAAAATATTCACCAATATTTTTTGTTAATTGAATTATGATAATTGCAATTCATATTTTTTTGCAAAACAAATTAAATAATTTTATTAACACTTTCGATAGTGTAAAATAACAAATTTGTTAAATTTGATAACTAACATATTTAAACTTTATATGTTTTAATAGCCAAAAAGGTGTTGACTTGTTTAATGTTCTTGACATGTTCTGGTGCTTTAAAGTATTAATGATTGCTTGTCTTATCACTGAAATAGTAAAAAAGTACTTTTGGAATTTACTTGGCATAGATTAGCGAAGTCGTCATCATTATGGCAACGCAGCAACAATGCCTCTTCAAATTTCCTTGTTGTTTCTGTCTACAACACAAGACTCAGACAATTCACAGCACAGCACCTACCGAATACTTTTTCTAGTCTTTCTAAAGATTTTTCTTATTCTATTTGCTTTGTATGCAGTAAAATTACTTATCTTAGATTTTTGTAGAATTTTTGCATTTCCTCTTGTAACAACCCTTCACATTTAATAATTTACATTCCATGTGGCACGCGAATACATTATCGCTTTTGTGAAAACTTTGCTGAAAAGAGGATTAAGTATTATCTGAAATATTATATGACTATTTTATGCAGTACATCACGTACTTACAGTTTCTTTGAGTAATTCAATCATTTTATAATACTTATATTTACAGAAGATTTAATTTTTATGTTTGCTTTTTAATATGATAGCGAACGTTCCATATTTATTTGCACAAATTCTTATGTTTAATAATAAAAGTAAATAAAATATGAGTAATTTTCTGTCTATAAACATTATGGTAGTAGGTATTTAAAAATCTTTTATTTTACAGTTTATAGAAAGTATTTTCGTTGCTCAGTTAAAAAACATTAAACTTTAAGTATTATGTATTCCTAAACGTCAGTGCACATCTTTTTAAATTTAATTCTAACAATAATTATTTTAATTTATAGTATACACTCTACACTAATTTGAATTCTTGTTTTTTATTATAATACTTGCTCTCTGGTTTTGCGTTTTAAAATTAATTTTTTACAAATATTCCAGTGTTTTCTATTACTTAATTAAAAATTATCAATATTACAATCGACTAATTAAAACTGAAGTTAATAATGAACTAAAAAATATTTCAAGGTCACATAAAATTGCATATTATTAGGAAAATTATAACTTAAAAATCATTTTCCCTTAAAGAATAAAAATGAAACACAAGCAAGAGTCCATTAAGAAGAATTTATGGCAGAAAAGAATATAAGCAAGCATTTACAAAATTTTACCATAAATTGGCAACTCTGCATTTCTTTCCTGCAATTGTAACAAATTTCGCAGTTATTTCTTTTCCACCCACCTGCACCATCCCTCACTTTTTGGCTTTCAATGTCAATGATGTGGATATGCAACTGCCACAGTCACAGTCACTGCCTCTGCCTCTGCTACTGCGAAATTTGTTGACGTAGTTTTTTGCATTTTTATTTTCATTTCTAACGTTTTATTTTTATTGTAATTGTGTGCATTATAATATAACAATCAGTATTTGAGTCCATTAGTCTACATGTTGTTGTTTTTGTTGTTGCAGTCTTAGTCATCACATAAAAACGTTGATAACTTCTTGAAAATTACACAAAAAAAGAAAAAAAATTTAGTTTTTTATTTACGTATTTTTTTAGCTCAAATTAAAACAGCTGTTAACTGTTAAATGTGATTAAAATATTGTATATAAATTTGTAAAATATTTTTATCTTTGAAAATAAACGTGACTCTTAGTAGCAAAATAAAAATATATACATATAATATAATAATTTGAATAAATTTTGCTTATCTCCGGCAAACATCGTGCGTTGCCGCTTCATGTTTATATTAAAATTAAATATTTACACAAGCATGAAGATTTATTACACACAAAAATTACACAAAGTAATACGAAGCTTATGAATTAAATGTTATGCATTGTTGTCAATTAATTTTATGTGATACCACAGGTGCATTCTTTTCTTGTTTCTGTATATTATTAATTTTCAACTAAAATAAAAATTTTATAGCAGTATTAAAATTATACTTATGTAGTTTGTATCAGTCATAAGAAACCACACATTAACGCGAATATTCTTCGAATATAATTCGAACTTAACCGGTTTTTGTCCGGTTAACTTAACCTAACACTAGGTGCTGTAAAAATATTAGGTATGGTCAGAATTAATTATTATGTATTCAATATGTGTATTCTTTTGATATGAAGCGTCTAATACAGGGCTGTCCAGAACAGATGTGATCGCGGGCCTATACAAATCACTGTACAGATTGGAGGGCCGCAGAAGCATATACATACGTTCATAGTTGTTTTCGAGAGAAATAAAAACACGGTTATAATCTTAAATTAATTGTTATTAATTTATTAATTTAAATTCATTTATTTGGTATACCATAAAAATAAAAAAATGTAATTTTACCAAAGTACACAACGAAAAACAAAAATTTGCGTAATTTTGGTAGATCAGAAACATGTCGTGGGCCGCATAAACATTAGCAGCAGACTGAATATGGCCCGCGGACCATACTTTGGACAGCCCTGATCTAATAGAACAGCTTTTGGTTGCTTAAGAATAATTTAGCATCATTGCCTAAATCAATAAACATATGATGACTAAAAAAATTTTATACAAATTTATGGTTGATAAATACATGTAAATACAAAAATACTTACAGACTATTTTACAATAGAGTTCTTGTTGAGCATTATGTATTATATTTGAATTTATATATAAGCATACATTTTGTTAGGCTTTATCCATGACAACTTAGAAAAATAGTGAAATAAGAAGAAAATCAAAGAGAGCAACGCATTGACCAAATATTTGAAATTTTTAATAGGTCCCACTCTTTAGTTAATGTGATAGCTCAAAACCTGGCTTTAGGAAGACTGTTTAAGATTCCATGGTATATTAGATCAACAGACATACATAGAGATCTTAGGATTGACTTAGTGAAAATATATATCAGAGACAGAGCTCTAAAATTATTCACTAAAGTTGATACGCCACTTAACCCCGCCCTAACAAACCTCAAGTCCATTTCTGGATTCTCAGGAAGATATGCTGATTTAAGGTCCATCATCAATTAAAAGTTAAATAAATGATATGATTTCTTAGCCTAGTTAAAGCCTAGTGTGGGGTAGTGATAAGCCCCCCAGCCATTATAGAGTGAAAGTGCGTAATAGCACTAACTCAAGAACAAGAAGAAGAAGAAGAGTTAATGCTAAATAACCATACTAAACACTGTTTTATTTTTCTTGCAACGATTGTGGTTAGAATTTATTTATACAGTATATTCTTTATTTATAATTCAGAAATTATAAATTTCTTAATAAATAATTAAAGAATGACTTCTTCACAATTACTCACCTGTCAGTCATCTTCACAAATTTTATTAATAATTTACTTTTTTTAAATAATTAAATTTATTCATTAACACTTGCAACAGTTATAAATAATAAAAACAAACTCTTCTGTCATCTGACTTAAATTTTCCATTTTCTTCCAAAAATCATTGACAATAGATTAGTTTCAAGATTTAGCACCAATGTAATGCTTGTGGCTTATTAGTTAATGGAGTTTCAGGAAAGTGGGCTTATATTTGCAAATTGAATTTGTCATGAATAAGAGTACATCCATACAAAATTTTAGCACAAGCAATAGGTTCAAAAATAATAGTAACAATATTGAGATTTGACTGTCCACATAACATGTCTTTACGATCATGACCAGAAAATGAATGAAACTGACGAGATTATTCGCCTTATGACTGACTCCATAACATGGTTATTAAGTTTATCAGCGATGACGGATATATGACAACTGTTACAGTGGTGAGTCAGGGAACACATACTTGTGAGTCAGTTATAGGTAGAGTGATAATAATAAATTTTTTAAAATAATGCATTTTATAAAATACTTCACTTTAGTTTAATCTATAAAAGTTTAAAAGAACAAGGTTTTTTAATATAAAGTATATTATAATTCATATAGGTAAAAGATTTATAATAATATATTTCTGAGACTTTGTGTTTGTTACATTGTATAATTGAGATGTAAGTTGTAGTACCATAAAACGTACTGCTCGAATGTTTACATATATTACAATGTTCGATGAATATGTTAATTTCTTTTTAAAGAACTTGTTTTCCTGCACAACTTTATAAGATATTTGTTTCAAAACACAACCCAAAGTTTGATTAAAGATATATTTATAATAAATTACTATTAACTACCTAAAAAAAATAAATAGCTATGTTATTAAAGAAATGTCATAATATTACAATATAAAAAAAAAATATAAAATATATTTAAAATTAAAAAAAAAAATATTTTCAATGAATTCTTAAAGTATCCTTAAATATATAATAAACGAAATGTGTAGAATGCAAGATTTGACCACACGTCTCTATGGATGATCCAAGAAGATTAAGGTAGTATTTATAACAATGTTTTTAGTTCTTCTTAAATTAAAAATCGACTATTTCTTTAAGTATTTGTAGGTGAAACTATTCAAATGTGATTTTGAAGGACGATAGAAATTATTTTCTACTCGCAGCCTTGACATTTTTGACAAAATTACTCATGCAATGACTAATTTTTTCAATACATTTCTATTTAGTTTTTACATGAGTGTATTTTAAATATATTTTTGTTTATGCGCCTTATCTATCCGTAAACTTTAACAATCACTTCTTATGAAAAGTAACAGTTTAATGCTTATCTGTTAATAATTTATATTATATAGCCCACGACAACGCCTTTAGCATTCTTTAACCTCTGTCATAATTAAAAGTTTGCTAACTACAGTCAGAAAGCTCGAGACATTATAAGTATGAATAATAGCATTATTCTTTAAAAAATTTTAATGTTATATTATATTTATTATTATCTAAACCGTGAAGTACATAAAATATCAAGTACTTTTTAATATTCTCATTACTTATTGTATTATTTCTTGTTATTTTTTCTTTCTCTTATCCTTATCTCCCAGTGGAACGTAGGCCTCTACCATCCTCTTATATCGGATTCTGTTATTTAATTCTCGGCAGATATTATTTCAGGAATAATGGGCTTCTCTTAGCTCTTCTTCAATTGTCCTCCTCCAAGTTTTAGCTGGCGCTCCAGGTCGACGGTTGCCTTTACAACCACAGAAATTATTTAAATTCAATAAATGTGCTTATCTAACCGATCTGTACTGAAAACATAATGTTTCTACGTTTCGAGGAGAGAATTAATTCTTTTTCTATCAAAATTTTTACCATGGGATCAATTAGTACTATGTTATTCGCTTGATCTAAAGCTGCTACCTTGCTATGGAAAAGTATGTAGGGAGTGGTCATGGTCAAAAAATTTCATATTTACGAATTGCACACAACTTATAGAAGCTGCTTTCTTTTTTTCTAATATAGAATTATCAATTCAGTTATTTCAAAAGCTACCGTAAATAAAGCACACTTGTGATTGACATTTCGGTATAATTTTTATTTTAATATATTGTTTGAACCTCACCATTAGGTGTAAAAAACATCATTCAAATGTCTTCCAGAAAACATCTAACAGTACGGACAGTAGTGGATTATTTTAAGGTTATTTTCTGTGACTGGGTCGACATATAGTTGGACATAGCTTATAAAAGCGTCAACTTATAGTTGGCCATAGTTTTTAAAGCGTTGAAAATTTCAAGATTCCCAGCATAAACACGATCCCTCCTATATTCACAAGTAAAAATCTAGTAATAACAAATCACATGATCTTGTTAGTCAATTTACATACTAAAACGTAAAATAAAAATTTTGGAAAAATAAGAGGTGTTGTGTGACTTATGGCAACGTCCTGTTAAAACTATATTCATTTCTTCAATTTTGTGACAAAAAAATTTGTAATCATGTGGCAATAGTGATCAAAATTGACGATTTGTGTCACATTCGTCATTTTAGAAAGTTTATCTTGATTTCAATCTATAGTAAATGGCAGTAACGTTTTGTAAATGTAATAGTCTTTTGGCAAATAGTTGTGGGTTTAATATTTATACAAAAAACTATATAACTATATATTTAGATTATGATTTAATCTGAATCATAAAGAAACCACATTTGTGGTGTTGTGACTAATAGTTTTAATTAAATTAAGACTAGGTATTAGTGTTAATATCCAATTATAATTTTATTTTCAGTTTAGATAAAATATTATCTTGAATGAAATATTCTTTTGGTCGAAATATTGTCTTGTTGATCGACTACATCCTCCGCGAAGAAGTCAACAATTTGACAAATGTGCGTTATTATTAATATTTTTCAAACTAGATTTTTAAGCTTGTAAGGTTTTGTTGCGTATCGCTGGCACAGGCTATTCAAATAGCACAGGTAATATTAATTTAGCTTGTAGTGGCAGCCATGTACCCAAGAAAGCCCACTAGAGCTCAAATAGTGGTCCATTGTAGTACCACAGGATTGGAGTTTGTTCACATATAGTCTAAATGTCAGTTTATGATCAACGGTGAAAGACAACGACTTCCGCATTAGGTAAAGATGAACCAACCTGGCAGTTTTATGAACTTGGGTAAGTCCCTGATTTTGCAGGATTACAGTTCGGTCAGGTCGGAAAGAAAAGGGACCCCAAAGATTTTAGATCTTCTCCTATTTAAAAAATGGGCACAGTCACATGATCACATATACAAGTAATTGTAAATTTGTTTGTAATTTTGTTAGTTCAGCTCTTTTGACTTAATTTTAACTTGATTTTGATACCAAATTAGTGGAATAAGCCGAATAAGCAAAATAAGAATCAAAATTACGATTACTTGTCCTTTCACTACTTTTTACACTATTGTTATCGCTGTAATATTTTATGTCTCCAGTGACAGTTTTTATTCTATTTTGGCATTGCATTTACCACTGTGTAATGTATACATTTCGGTTGAGTTGAGGACTGGTATTTTAAAGAAACATGTTCGCTTGTGTTAAACAATCCATAGCTAGTCAATTATTAAAAATTGCAATTTTAAAAGTTAATTATTAATTTGATAAGTATTTAATGTTGAGGGTTGTATTTTTTTTTTCTTTTTTTTTCAAATTAAGTGTAATTTGTTAAAATTAAAATTTAATATTATTGGTCATAAATAGTAAATAAACAACATAACTTAAAAATTTACTTTCACACTATTTATAATAAATAATATTAAATATACAAAAATGTTGGTATACCTAAATATGAACATTCTTTGAGTTTTTATAGAATTGAAAAAAAACTTTTGATACACAGTAGACGCTCACAAATTAGAAACACTTTGTTTGCAGTTCGTTCTAATTTCCGAATTGTTTTATTAAATTGTCGTTTTTTTCCAGACAATTTATTTATATAATTAAAATAAATCTCTGGTTTGCTTATAATAACCCGTGATTTTTGTTGTTTCGGATTAATTTCTTAATTTCATTATGTAGGGCCGGAAGATTAGTCATGTGAAAATGACTATCGCGAATGTTTTCAACTATCGCATTAGAACAAATTAAGTATAAAGTAATTCCCCTGTTTCAGATTTATTTAGTTTATCAGCAACGTATAAAAAAATTAAGAAAAAAAAAGGAAATATGAAAAATAAAATATAATATTGTTCAGCTTTTCCTAATTGCGATTAACGAAATTGTAGAGTAATATTTGCATAGCTTCTTTGTATAATGGCACCAAAAAGGTGCTTTACTTATAATACGTAAAAAAATGCATAACAGATGTCGCTGCAAAAAGAATAGCTTTGAAATAAAAATAGGCAATCTCAAAAATTAACTTACAATTCGTTGAACATGTGTTTCCAAATAAAGCTGAGGTTTATAAGCTCGTTCTAATTTAAGCACGGTAAGTGCTTTGGTGAGTGTCACTTAAAAAGTGACAAAAAAATGAAAAAACAATTAATCATTGCTTCCAATTTGACAGGCACGAGTTCCAAGTCTGGCACTTGCAGTCCAAACAAATTATATACGGACTATGAACTAATTAAAAAGAAATTCGAATATTTTCTAAGACCACTGATGATGAGTATTCGAAATAGCGTTGTATGTTCAGCCAAATTTCAATGAATTAACTAAAATTTTTTGTTGTAGTCTTTTTATTTCTATTCGAACCTTCTAATTCTTAAAAAAAAAAACCTTCTGAACATAGAAAAAGTTCTAACTTCATAACATTCAATGCATGACGAAATTAGGTCTTAATTTCTGGGCGTTCTAATATCTAGCAGTTCTAGTTTGTGAGCGTTCACTGTAGCATAAATTTAAATTTATTCTGTGTTTTTGTTTTGCTTGATTAGATTGTGCACAGAATTGAAAAACTTGATTTTATTTACAAATTGCAAATAATATTTCCTATATGAAAACTATATTAAATATCAAATATTTCATTATTAATAATATATACATAATTTTTTAAATTTTAGCACATCTGGTGATTCCTTATATGAAATTTTAGGACTTCCTAAAACAGCAACTGCTGAAGAAATAAAAAAGACTTATAGAAAACTTGCATTAAAGTACCATCCAGATAAAAATCCAGACAATGTAGAGGCTGCCGAAAAGGTAATAATAATAATAAATAAAATAATTTGAATCAGTTTTTATAAATAAAATATGTATACGCATTTAATATGAATTTAGTTTAAAGAAGTAAATCGTGCACATTCAATACTGAGCGATCAAACAAAGCGTAATATTTACGATAATTATGGTTCATTAGGTCTTTATATAGCTGAGCAATTCGGGGAAGAAAATGTGAACGCATACTTTGTGGTAACATCACCGGCCGTTAAGGTATGTGAAATATTTATTTTGTGGTATTTTTAGAATATAAATAAATAATTAAAAATGTATCTTTTCTTTTATAGGCACTTGTGATTTGTTGTACTTTATTAACTGGTTGTTGTTGTTGCTGCTGCTGTTGTTGCTGCTGTAATTTCTGTTGTGGTAAATTTAAACCACCAGCAAACGAGTCCCATGATCAGTACTCTCATTTGAACGTAAGTGCAACAATTGTTGAATTTTATACTCAAAACAAAAAAATTAAGTATATATAAAGCAAAAAAAAAAAAAACAAGAAAATCAAATTTCAATTAAAACCAGAAAGAAAAAAATATATTTTTATGCTATTTAAACGAAATGTATAAACAATTTTCAAACATATCAAAATTCACTGTAAACAAACTGCCAGTAAAAACCTATCAATTGCTGTTATATATTTGCTAAACATTTGTGTACTTCTAACCCGTGTTTTCTTAGTTCAATCTGCTTAAGTAATAAATTATTAGTCAAACAGTTTATTAAAAGAAGTTATATTTTAATGGAGAAGGTGCTTGGTTTTGGTATTATTAATTATTTGTACTTTTTTGATGATTTTTGTGACAATTTACTTAAACACTTTTATTTGCCAATTTTTGTTTGTTGCTGAAAAGTGAAAACTTTATTTAAAGCTTTGGTTTTGTTTATTTGCATATATCTGCATATATAACATAATTTTGCATGTTTTTTTATATTTGTATATAATCATTAAATTATAAGGTAAGTATATTATATGTAGTTGTCAAATATTACTTATTAAAAATAACAATAATCATTTTTTTGTTGTTGTGTAAAACAATTTTTTTGTTGCTATAAGTAATACAGAAAAGCTCATATTTTACAGGTAAACAATTGTATATATAAAATCAACATATAATTGATTTCTTTATTTTTACTTATACTATTTAAATAAACTATTAATAGATAACATTATAGTTATAAACATAGTTTTAGTTAAATTTTTTCATCATTTATTTAGTCTCCAACTGCGGAAAACCGTATTACATTTTAGCGAGATTCCAATTTCATTCACACCAGTTTTACAATATATTTCAGTAGAATCGAAAAGATAAAATTTCATGTTGTAAACATAAAAACATTGATTAGACAACTAAAGCCCATTAGTATATACAACAAACACACTGAATACACCAATAACAGGTAATAAATCGACGCCCCAGATTTCAATGCAGAAATATATCAAACCTTCTGATATCTCGATACCCTCTATTGATACCATATATGACTCTCTTTTTATATAATAGAAAGAGTTGGTTGAAATAGCCGTTTTGATTAAAATTAGGGTGCCAAAGAAATAGGAATAGTGCCTATTCTTTAACTTCTGCTAATTATTTTTCATATTTATAATTCATTTGGTTCTATAATAAACTTATTTAAAAGAATAATGCTTGTACATGTACGAAGATATATGTTTGTATTCATCTATTATATTGGAAATTAATATATCAGTAGCTTCGAGATGTAGAACTGGAACTTTTATTGAATATACTAAAATAAGATTTTCTTTGTATTTTTCAATGTATTCTTCGATCTGTAACTATTATTTATTTATTTTATTTCATTTATATATTATTTTCCTTATAAAACAATTTATTTTATAAAATAATTTATTTTACTTTAAAAATTTGTGTGGAAATTAAAACACCATCAATATGATTTACTGAATCAATTAAGTTTGACTATATAGCCAACTGACTATAGACAGACAACTTTATAGTTATTGTATTAAATAATTTGTAGTTCCTATGTTACACATTATTAAAATGTAAAATAAGTTAAATGTTAAAATAGCTGTTAATATGTAATAATTTCACAATTGTAAATAAAAGAACTTACTTACTACTACTACTACTATATACCCAACTGCTAAGAAGCTACTTGTCACGTATAAACACCTCCCTTCTCAATGTAACTAAGCAGAAGTTCTATTTTTCATCACGTCGCTTATTTGTCAAATCTCTAAACTCACAAATTGATTTGTAGTTCCTTTCTGTGGAGCTATGTAACAATGTTATTTTACCTTGATTTGACATAGTTTCAATTAGAATCATATAAATTTACTTATTTTACTTTATACCATATGACCTACGCCTGCCTTTATACCCGGTCCCAACCAACCTATTTTTCTTGTAAACTATTTATGTTTCCGCCTCTACAGATGTCTTCAGCATTTTCATATCGTACATAAGAACAAAAACAAAACTAAAAAAAAAAATTGAAAGAAAGTGCTAACCAGGTGCACTAAAATCAACTAAAAGGTTGACAAGAAATGGTACAATAGGGTCGAATGGGAAAATTAACATAGGGTAGGAAGAGAGTAGGGATGTTAAATCTAACCTGCGTTTAGGTGGAGGAATCTTACTATCTAAACTGTTCAGAGATATTAATCAATAGCGGACCAATTTGTGTATGCACTTAGTTTGAAAAAAAGTATAGGCATCATCATATAGGGTAGAGGTACTGTTGGAACGTACATCAAGATTGAACGTATATATGCGTGATAAGTAACTGTTTAGTATATGGATAATTTATTCATAGGCCGGTACGTTATATATATATAATATTTTTCACACAATATAAATAATTGATTCATACTAAAAAAAATAAAATTTACGCTGACGCAAATATTTTTTTGCATTATAAAAAATAAATGAAGTCTACGTTTTTTTTTAAATATTTATTTGCAAAATCGACTAGAACTAACTAACTAAAATAATTATGAGTTAATTTGACGTTGAAATTATCGTATCTAGAAGATTTACCTTAAATCAAATAACCGGAATATAATATAGTTAATACAAAATTTTTTTCTAAAAGCGAAACGATCAATTTCTCTTTTCTATAAATGCCCGATTTATATATATTTAGACTGTATTTAAGGTCGTTAAGGTTAAGACTGCCAGATTCATCTAGTTTTGCATGAAAACTTTATAATACTAATTATTGTTGTTTTTATTTTGTTTCCTAAAACCTTTTTTTTTATTTTTAAACAAAAACAACTGAATTATTTGCTTATCACACAAAAATCTTTTTCACTTCTTTCACAAAATATTTATTAAAAATATATATTCACAGCCGCGGTTAATACTCTCTATTACAAGTGTACACACTAAACGTATATATTGTAATGTGATGTAATGTTCTTTTTTATTGTTTTGCGATACGAAATTTAGAGATGAAATTTTTTAGAAAATACGATTCGTCTCGTTTCTATTCTATAAACTAGAAATATTACCCATAATGCCTTTTTATTGGAAGCTTCTCTCGTACCACATATGAAAAGATTTTTTAGCTGTTCATGAAACTAATTATCATTATCTTATAAACTATCAAATTTTTATGTTAATAATAGTTTTTACTTCAATATTCGAGGTTGCGTCGAAGCGCAATACATAATGATTTGGTTCCTGCTCCTGTTATTGATCTATTAGTATGATCAGCAGTATGATCATCAATATGATAGGTCAATTTTTAAATAATTTAAATCTCATGAATATATGTTTTTAAGAATTTTTGCACACACAACAATGTTTATTGTATACTAGTAACTGCCGCATCTATCCACGACTATCGGTTAAACTACCTTATCCATTTACAAAAACATTCATATGATGCACAAAAACAAGACATTCTATTATCTTCTTTCTCTACTACTCTATTATCTTCTTTCTTTATTCCTCTATAATCTTCTTTTTATAGAGGGGTTATAGAGATTACTATAATTAAATACTGTAGCGCCGAATTACAACTGCGACTTCTCTTAAAATCTAAAAATCCTCTCCAATTCTCGTTATAATACAAACTACCCTATCAGTGAGTGATGACCACCTAGCAGATTTTTAATTTGTTTGACAACAAATACGATATCTGCTATAGGATCCAACGCATTTAATAGAATTAATATCTGCTTTCAGGTTATTCATATAGTAATGTTCTTGAGCAATAATAGAAGTTAATAGTAATAATAAGAAACAAACTTACAAAATCTGCAACCAAACTTATTATTTTCTTATTTTAATCTACTTTGTAACTCATCTATATTTAAAGATTTACTACAACGTCTCGTAACTTAAATTACAACAAAAACAATAACACAGTCTCCATTTATATCTATCCCCTGTCTTGATAGTGCTAGTAATGGCACTGTCAGTAGCTAATAATTATTGCTTAAGACATATGAAAATTACCGTTAAACCTTTCTATATATGTTAAATCTTCTACGATATTATTAGTCATAACTTACCTTGCTCGCCTTTCCGCTGTAACTTACAGGTGACAGTTATTAAAATGTATTCTCGTACTTTTTTTTTGTAGTGCCCTTTTCAAATTTTATCTAATACAATATATTTAATCTCAAACTAATTAAAATTAGATGATATCTATTACAACAAACATACTCGTATATATAATGAAAAAATTTTTTAAAGCATTTTAGAGTATTTTGCATAGAATTTAGATAATAAATAGTTTATAATTAAAATTAAATTAAATTTCGAAATAATAATAATAATTATAGTAATTTGATTAAAAAAAGTTAATTAGATTTTTATATATATTTTTTTTTGTAACAGTAATATTAAATAATGAAATATATGAGTCTATGACAAAAAACTTCTATTCTACATTATTCTATTTTATTTTTATTTTTAATTTTATTTTTTATTTTTAATTTTATTTTTTATTTTAATTTTATTTTTTATTTTTATTAATATAGGTGACTTAATAATTTGTAGCAATTTTTTTTTAGTTTACAATTATATTTAAAATAATATATCTTTATATATTATTATTTTTATTAATATATCTTAAAGTATATCATTCAATAATTAATGCACATCAATTTATAATAAATTTTATTTATTCTCACTCATAATATTTTTTAAATTTGTTTTTATATATATATTTTTTCAATACTATGCTGTCAACACTTTATCGTGATAGTACATTTTTCATTTCTTATAAGCAATTTAATTTTTCTTTTTTTTTCTATATTTTGTTGCTTTATGTATATGTTTTCCTCACGAAAATCATCAATCTTTTTTAATTATTAAATCAAAAATAAATCTAAGTTTAACTAATGTTTGAAATCATTTCTTAATTGAAATTAATATAAATTTAATATTGGAAATTTTTTTATGCAAATTTGAAATATAATTTTCTTGTTTTTGTTTTTTTTTAAATTTAACTTAATAAAATTGAAGATTTGTTAAATTTATTTTTATTTTTGATTTTATTAATTTTCTTTATTTTATGATTTTAACTAATATTAATTTTATTATTTTTTTTTAGTAATATAGTTTAATTTTTATATCTAATATAAGTTTATATAAAAAAATATTCATTAACCGTCTATTGTTTTTTTCTCATACGAAAGAAAGAAAATATTTTATGCTTCGCAAAAATTAAAACAAAAAAAAAACACACATCATTTTTAAAATTTTTGTACAATTATTATTTTTCGTTTATGAATTATGTAAACCTTCTATTCGATCACGCATAGCGCCCCGATGGAGGTAGAGAGGCTAGAGATAATCCACCGAATATGGGCCAACCACCTCGTATTGTAAGTAGCTTCCCAACTCACATAAAAAATCATAACTCAAAACTAATAAAAGCTTTATTCAATCTTTTTAGTTAATTTTTTTAGTTTATTTCAAAAATAACAAGTTTATCTCAAAAATAACAAAAATCATTATAAATTGTCAAGCATTAAATACATTGTAAAAAAAACATAGGTGCTGGTAATAAGAACAACCCAAGTAACATGGAAACCTACTTCGGTAAAATATTATGCCGCTTTTTTATTTGTAGTTTTTATTACTAATAAATTTAGTGTTTATTATTGGTGTTTACTAACCGGTATGTTTCTTTTGAATTTGTCTAATAGAAATTGTGTTACTAATATTTAAAATATTTATAATTGCAATTCTATACCAAAGGTTGTTTAAATAGAAACTCTTGTTTTAGTTACTGGAATATCGTGGAATTTCGTAGAATATCGTAAATGTATCAGACCCTATATATTTATTTATTAAATAATTTGCGAGTTAACACTAAAATTTATTTTAAAATTAACTAAGCATAAGGTACTAAACTACTAGGTCCTTCTCCCTGATATTTATATATTATGTAATAATAGTCATATATAGGCGATTAAGATTCTCAAAAAATTAAATACCTATAGACAGGTAGGGTATAATAGTAGCGATATTTTATCATTTAAACGTAATTACAAAAGTTACATTTATGATAAATATCGTATGCTATAGCCCTTTGATTTATTTAGCTAAAAAAATAATCAATTTGCTAATTGAATTAATACATATAAAACTATTGCATATATCGTAAAATACGATATTTTCATTATATCGACTTTTGGTTGGTACAAAAAAACATATCTTTCTAAAAAGTATATATAGTTACAGTCCTTTAAATAATAATAAAATATATAATATATATGTATATTTAATTAGAATAAAATAGTTAAATAAATATAGTAATTTATGCTTCAAGCTTGTTTGCAGCAAGGTATATGCAATCATAGTCTTTTAAACAATAATAACATATATAATATATATGTATATTTCATTATAATAAAATAGATAAATAAATATAATAAGTTATGTTTGCAAGCACTGTAATAATATACTCATAGTCAATAAGTCCTTATTGACGCGTACACTATTTTTAATTTATTCCTATTAGACTATTTTACTTTTTATATTTTTTGGAGTAATCTAGAACCTGAGTATTGTGGTTATATCTATTGATATTAATAATATTTTTTATATTTTAAAATAAAGTAATATTTTATTTATTTTTCTTAAATCTTATAGACTTTTGTTAATTTATTAACCGAAACTACTTTATTATTATTATAGTATTTAAAGTATAAAATATTTATATTGATAAATTAATAGTATAAATTGTTGTACTTTTCTCTTTATTTATATCTCTGATATTATAGGGATATACATATTTCGATATAGTTTTAATAACAAACACAGTGAAAACAAATTTAATAATATAACTACAAAATTATATTGATCCTCTTTAATATCTAATACAATGATAACTCTCTTAAACAGGAATGCATTGCTAACTAATTGGGTTCAAGAAAGGCGTTCCACTAATAGTTGTTGTACTTATTACTTTTTTCATAGTTTTTGCTAATATACTGACCAAAAAATATCGATCCTATTTAATAGCAAATTCTGTGAAAACTTTCTTAACGGGTATTCATCTTCAACCAGTTCTTATCCGCTTAAGAGAAGTGTGGTGCCAAAGAACGGTACATTATTTTCTAAAATGATAAAACTTTGGGTTTAGTTAAATTGTCTAGCCACAGAAAGTACCTGCTCTTTAGTAGAGATTTCACTGTAATGACTGAACTTAAAAGTTTTTTTAAACAAATTAATTAAAACTATGGATAAAATATTTATGTAATGATTAATATTTAGATATAAATTTTAATACTTATTTTAAATTACAAATTGTTAAACAAAATGTTAACTGAATATTAATACTAGGTAAACAATTTGTTAACTAATCTGTACGTCTTTATATTATTATAAAGAAATTATTTCCGATAAAGGTTATTTATTGCTTAAAATTTCTATTAGACGAATATGTAGTAAATACTATAGCTTTGTATATTGAATGCTTTAAGTAAATATTTTAATTATGCATTTTTTATAGACAAGAAATTTTTTTTAAATTTTTTTTTATAATTATTTAATTTAAATATTAAAATATAAATAAAATAAATACCAAAATTCAGTACCTTCTCCTTATAGTATTTTTTGACAT